GCATTAAATTATAATATTTTTTGTTTTGCGTTATACATACATTTATATTTTTAATAAAAATAAAAATTATTTATATAGAATTTTAAAAAATACTTGATTTTAATAAGTTTTCGGCACATAACCCCATTCCTTTTTTTTACTGGCTCTAGGTCTTATACAACACGGTTTCATGCAACATGGCATTTTCTATAAACCTATTACTGTGTTATGGGAGGGTTACCTGTACTTCCCTTCTGCTCAGAAAACAACCTATTATATTTTCTTAACTGTGTTAGTGTGCATAATTATTTTTTTGAAATCGAAATAGCTATTGCTTCATTGTGAAAACATATTTTTCATTTATAAGTACTGTTATTGTTTGCCTTTCTACAAGAAATCTTCTTTATCATTCATTCATCTGGAGTTTTCTTGTGGTTTATTATTCATATATATGTAAATATGTACACTAATATATATAATTTGATTTAAAATTTAATTAACTTTAAATTTGCTTTTTATAAATAGAGAATGTTTGTTAAATTTATACATATACACTCAAGAGCCAAAACATTATGACCACCAATCAATAACGAGTTGGGCCACCTCTGGCGTGCAACACAGCTTCAACCCGCCTTAGCATGGATGCCACAAGTCCTTGATAGATGACTGGAGACAGATTGTACCAGAAGTTGTAGCAATGGTCACGCAAATCCGAGATATTGCGAATTGGTGGTCTTTGACCTCTGAGCTGCCGTCACATGACATCACAAATGTGTTCTATTGGATTGAGATCCAGTGAGGTAGGTGGCCCGGACATTAACTGGAAATCAGCATCATGTTCCTGGAACCACTCCAGCACAATTGTAGCCTTGTGACACGGGACGTTGTCCTGTTGGAACATTCCATTTCCAGCTGGAGACAGAGGCCATGTAAGGGTGCAACTGGTCCACAGTGATATTCAGATACCCTGTAGCATTCACGGTCTGCTCTACCACAACCACGGGTCCCAGAGACGCCCAAGAGAACGTCCCCCAGAGCATAATACCGCCATCACCGGCCTGTGTTCTACTGTGCATTAAGGGAGCACCTGTTCGCCTGGAAGACGGCGTATCCTGACACGGCCATCGGCGTGATGAATGACAACCGGTGATTCATCTGACCAGGCAACTCTCTTCCACTGATCCATGGACCAGTCGCGATGTTCCCGGGCCAGCGCAGGCGTAGTTGGCGATGACGCTTGGTCAGCAAAGGCACACGAGTGGGACGTTTGCTGCGTAGCCCCATATCCAACAGTGTCCGCTGAACAGTGAACTCCGATACTTTTCTACTTGGCCCTGCATTGTATTCGGCTGTCAGCTGAGCCACTATCTGGCTCCGGTTTTGCTTCACCATGCAAGACAGTTTCCGACGACCTTTTTCTTTGATATTATGTGGAGGTCCAACACCATGTCGTCTACTGCTGGTTTCACCGCATTCATTCTTTTTTCATACGTACTAACAACTGTAGATCGCGAACAACCCACGAGTCATGGAGTTTCGGAAATACTTGTTCCGAGCCTTCGAGCCAATACAATTTGCCCTCTATCAAAGTCGCTTAGATCCGCAGCCTTTCCCATCACACACAGAAGTAAGTGAAAGAATGATTCTTCAGACTCTCCAGCAGCAGTTAAATACCACTTCCACCTGATCATGTGCCTTCCACGTCATCCAGGCGCGTTCATTGCAAAATATAGGGCTGGCCATAATGTTTTGGCTCTTGAGGGTATATATATATGAATAACAGGCTTATCAACATATGTTTTGGTTCGCCACAGTTTTATCAAATGCTTTAAGTCCCAGCGTAGAACAGTGCTATACTGGAATTTGGTAATGTCCAGCAGCGGTAAACTTTTGTTAACTACTTCCCTTTTTCCACTGGTCTTTTAACTGTATGAAGGTCACAGAATGGTCCTATGTGTATTTGATAACAGCTTCAACAGCTGCTGAAAAATCACTCAGGACTGTATGAGGACTTGCTGCCTTACACGACCAGAACTTAAGCGAAATCACAGATCCCTGATCTTGACCAAAATTAATTTAGTTTTCTTTTTGCATACATCATGTAGGCTGAAGAGCAGTGACTCGCCAGTTCGAAAACTAAAAAATTCTCTCTTCATGAACTCCGTGTAATTGCATGCTTTATGAAAGCACACCTCAATACTTATGCAGCTGGAACTCCAATAACTACCAAGTGAAACTCCAAGTGCTTGTTTAAAAATCTTAACTAATTTGCATCTGTACAATTCTTCAGCTCAGTGACTTGAATAAAATTTGCATAGCACAAACAGCTTCAGTAGGATAAATGATTTTCTGTCCTTAAGAAGTTTCAAATTACGTTTAAAGGGGAAATCAGCATAACCAAATTCTGCTACTAAATTAATCAAAATTCAGTATTGTTGTAACTGAAAAAGTGAAGCTGGTAAAAGTTTAACAAATTAATTTGGTTTTAAAAGATTATGGGAATGGTACATTTCCATGGTTTAGTTGCTTTCATTTTCATAAATGATAATTGATTTCTGTAAAACTATTCAAATTGAGATAGATTTTTAAGTGATAAATTTGCCTGTATTTTCATGCCTTTGTGTGAATTGTTTGATTGTTTAATCAAAGTTAGCAAATCAAGTGAGGGCTATGTGTTTTAGGGTATGATTATCTATGAATCACTTTCTAAGGAAACTAGTTTGTTCCCATTACATTTGGAATAAACCACTAATTCAATCTTACATCCAGCATATTAACCAGAATTTGAACCCGGGCTAAACTAGTAGTTTCAATGGGTTCCCTCTCACTCAGCCACTGGTAGGCATTATTTGAGTTTCAACATATTCATCAGATTACACATGCTACAAGAGATTTGACCTTTTTTATCACCATGTTGATTAATCCAGGTTCTAGTCTTCATGAATGGGCTGACTCATTTTGGGGGGGGGTGAGTGGTTCCATATATAGATATCTTTGCCTGTAGGCATTTTACTTTTGAGATGCTACTAAGTAATGCATTCAGTATTTGTTGGTCGTGAAATAAGAGAATAGTAGTAGCTAAATGAAAATCAACATTCTGATATTCCTGAAATTTTTTAAGACTGTAATATTTCCCTAATTATATTGCACACATAGTATGATACTGCATTGATAAATCATAAATACTTTTCTAATGTATAAAATTTGGAATACAGAGGGTGTTGTTCACACATTTTTGTAATGATTTGGATTTTCTCCATGAATTTAAATATTAATTTTAAAATACTAACTTGACTGGCATCAAATTGGAATGAGGCTTAATTATCGCCTGCAGCATTAAAAATATTCTTTTCTTTAAAATGTTGCTGAAAAATAAACAATGGATTGGAGGCTATATTTTTGTGCTGTCTGAAGAGAAATACTCTTATTTAATTATTAAAGAAAAACGTGAAAAGCATGGTTTTGATATTTCTACATGTGCAGTAACATAATTAATGTGAAAGGAAAGAAACATCAAAGTTTATATCTGACTGGAAAAAAGGCAAAAAATGCATACCCAACAAAAGTACATACAGCTCTTATTAAATCTATAGTCGCATCTCATGTTTTGAAGGAAAATCCAGGCCCCCAAAGAGCTATTGCAAAATCTGTAGGAACTGTGAACAAAATTAGGAAATCTCATTTAAAGCTAATCAAAGCGGAAAAAAAAAAAAAAAGATGTGCATCACCATAAAACTATGTGCAGATTGCTGTACGAAAATTATTTGGCAGGTGAAAAATGAAAATATATAGTTACAATTGATGAGGCTTGGATATTACTTATCTGATTGTAATAAAAAATGATCAATTTAGTACCGAAAAAGAGGAGAAAACGTAATATGTTGATTCAAAGAAAACAAGGAAAGTTTTTGTAAAAGTTTTATGGTTATTACTGGATTCTCTAATAACGGCAAACTTAAAATAAGGAAGGTAGAAAAACATGTCAAAATTAATTTGGATTATTATCAGAAATATGTTTTAGCACCCATTTTTAAAGAAGAAATTCCATCTCTTTATCCAGACAATCTTCACTGTGTTAAGTTTCATCAGGATAAGGCTCCATGCCATACCTCTAAATGTACTGCTCATTTAAAAAAAAAAAAAAAAAAAAAAAAAAAAAAAAAAACAATAAAAAATGAAACTTGAAATGAAGCTATTCCCTTTAAATGCATCCCACCCAAGTCCCCTGATGTGTCTCCTATGGATTACTGTGAATTTGGACTTCTAAAACGAGCTTTTTAAAGCGGCATCTCAATTCATTGGATGGATTCTGGAAGATTGTGAAGGAGGAGTGGAATAAAATCAACCTTGATGAAAGAAAAGGACTTTTAGCTTGGAAAACAAGATGTAGTATGATAGTTCAACAAAAGGGCTATCATATTGAATATACTAGAAAATAAAATTCTAAGGTTTGTTTATATATAAATATTTGCAAAATTGTTGCAGAAATGTGTGAACACCCTCTGTATATGTTAGTAAAAATTCAAATAGTGCTATTCTCTTCATATTAATTCTAAGAAATGTGTGAGCCGCCCAAATTGTAAGGTGTTTAAAGAAGCCGACTGCGATACCAAAGGGCTGGGTTCAAATCCCAGAGAAGGCATGGTTGTAACTGACCATCCCTTCATAAGAGGCAAAGTTGGCCCATCTGTTATGTGTCTCCAAAATAAAGTGACCACTGCTTCTGGCCTTCGTGAAATTAGCACTGCTAATTAAAGAGAAAAGTAAATTTGCATCAACAGTTAAAACTGTGTTCTTTTTTTTTTAAAGAAAAGGAACATACATAACACATCATCAGAGAAAAATTATTCTTGAGGAATAAGGCCAGTTCGTCTCCACAACATATTAGAAACTTCAGTGTAAATGTGTTCATTCCCAAACTATTTGTGAATGGATGTTACATTATTAAATTTTTCAAAATTAATTCGTGATTGTTTAATTCATTAATATGCAAATGTATTAAGTTTGAAATATATTTCTAGGTATTTCATCGCTTTTGTGATTCTTGTACGCTTTTAAACCACAGCCTTAAATTTGGAAATTTCCAAGCAGCAGCAACACTTTGTGTCCTGGAAAATCTTTATGATAAGGTCAGAACATTTGCCTACCCAAAAAAACTTGCTCTCAGTCTTTTATTTATTAATTCAAATATATTATTGTTTATTCATTTGTTTTACTTTGCATATATATTTAGGCTCTGGAATATCAGTTAAAAGCTTTAATCAGCTTTTCAGATTCAAATAAAATACGTTTGGACATGGCGGTGTATGTCATGGGATGCTATGTAAGGTAAATATTATTTTCGATTCCTGTTATCACCAGTATTTGAGATTTCCCAAAACATGAAGGAGGTTTACGTTACATTTTTCTGAGTTAAATATTCATGCTTTGAAATATTTTGTGAAATGCATAGCATTTTTTAAATATAATTTTTGAAAAATTTGTTTTCTATGACAGTCCATGTAAAATTTGCAAACGTTTTGTTCGAATCAGTAAAAATACTGCCTTAAAAAAAAATGATTTATTTGATTTTTGGAGTCTTTTTTTTTTTTTTTTTTTTTTTTTTTTTTTTTTTTTTTTTTCCTGAAACTAGTTAAATTTCTGTCACTAACCTAATAGCCACATGGTGATTTGAAAAACATTAATGGGCATTTTTTTCTTAATACTTACATAGTTATTTTCTTTCTTTTTAACTTAGATCACTGTTGATTCATGTTGATTCACAAAAATATTTATTTGTCATGATGTTTTTTTAAATAATTTTTGAGCAATTTTATTCTTTGTGTTATTCTAGAATTCCAGGTCCTTTCCTTTCTTATAATGTAGTTTTACTGCATTCGATTAGTTTTTAAAAATATTTTCTGTAATATATGGGTTTTATTTCTTAAAAATGAGTTTTCCTATTTTATCATAGGTTAATTTCAGTTATTATTTGTATGTTTCAATAATTCTTTGCTAGAAAATCTACTATAGCTCACATCTGTTGTAGTAAACACAGCTGAGAATCCTTTGCTGTTTTTTTTATTCCATCTAGTCTTGTGTCATTTATATTTTAGTCTGACTTTCATATGAATAGTGTAGTGCATTTAGAAATGTATTACCCATATATTGTGCTCGTGTGATGCTTCAAGAGGTAAAGGTAATGGAAAGATTAATGTAAATTCCCAATAACAATTAATTATCATTAATTTAGAAGTCAAACAACAAAAATCAGCGTTATGTTTTCAAATTTTCACACAATTTTTGTTGTTTGACTTCTAAATTAATTCTTGTTCGGTGTGTTATTGTATCTTAACTAATTAGCATATCAGGTGAGATGTGTGATTTTATGTTTGCTAAATGCTAAGTTTTTTCTGTGTCGTTTCAATTGAATTATTTGCTGTTTTCCAAGTGATCACAAATAAAAATTAGTAGTGAAAGTACCCTATTCAAGGGTGTTATTGGATAAAATTCATTCAGATGTTATATGTATATTTACTTATGATTCTGGATTTTTTTATTAAGATGGAGGAAGAAAAATTTCAAATTGTGTGGTTTGCATGAAATTTGACATGACTTATAATTTACATATTTCACAAGTTACCAGTTTTCTAATATGTAAAGAAGTTATGAAGCAAAGTATAGTAACTTGATTTAAGTTACTATACTTTGCTTCCTAACTAAACAACATAAGTTTTTTTCAGTAAGAGGTATGTCTCATCTTAAGTTTAAGAGATTTGATATATACTCAGAAAACGTTCAGCACACTGCTATGAAAATAAACAGTCTAAAACTTTTTCATTAACAATGGCTAGCATTCTATTATGAATGAATTTTTAAACTTTTAATTATTATGATGTTTAAATACATATGTACAGTACAAAGATCCAGCATTCTCGAATCTTTGGCAATTCAAGATTTATCATCATGTTAAATTTAGTAAGATAACATGTAGGAGTTAGAAATAAAATTAAAAATATGAAATAATGAGGCATTTGTGATCGTAAGGGAATCAAAATTAACAAAAAAAAACAACAAAAAAAACTCAATATTTGTCTGTTTTATTAAGCATTTTCTGTGTGATTGTTTAAGTTGTTTTCTATTTTTACTAATATTTTTTTCTATATTTTATAAAGAGACATAATTTCTTGTTCGATTACAGAATTTCATTTTTTAAATCTTCTAATTCCTGCATCAAGAATTTCCAGTAAACTGTCAATCAAAATCTTTTCATTCTCAAAAACCTTTTCTTTTACTTTCTTCATGACAGTAGCTATAGTTTCTTGATTAGAACCATACTGCAGGCTTTGCCATCCATTAGTTTGTTGCTGATTGGAGTATTGTCATTGTAAAGGAAATTTATTATAACATCTCCATTTATTATAAATTTTTACATTTCTTCACAATTTTCATTTCTTAGAAAATTTCGCCTTCTGTAGCATTCAGAATCTATGCCAAAATAAGATTTTATTTTGCCTAATTTTTAAATCGCAGTTTCTTTAGCCAAAATTTGTCCAACACTGTTTTCTGCACCAATATCATTGTAGAAGACAAGTGCCAAATATGTTTTCTTGCTTTGCATATTTTGCTGCAGTCCAGAATTTGAAACTTTTCAACATATTCAAAAAATTTCAAGTTTTAATTTTGATGAGATGCGTCTAATAATATTGGCCTGCAGAAAATAATAAGCTGCATAAATTTGCTATATTAACTGAGCGTAAGTTCTTGTAATCTAATTCTTCCTTTTTTGTTGCTATGACAACAAAAGAAAATGAGCGTGAGCAACATCCTACTCCATACAAATGTCTTTGTGTTTCACCTTTTTTTTTATGTCAAATAGAAAAGTGTCCATAAGCATTCAAACCAACTCCTATCCATAACCGTTTAAGGGCTGAAAGAATGATTGTGGCTAATTTTCCGTGCCTCTCTCTCTCTCTGTCTTTTTTTTTTTTTAAACCGAATATTCAATCACTCCAAATATAGAGCATCCAAATTATTTGCTTTGTGCTGTACAAGTTTCAGTTAAATTAACAAAATTGTACTGACATTTTTAGGCATATTTTTTCGTATTATTTAATGTTAGCCTTGGACAAATGTGATCACATTCAGTAGTGCTCAATATGTCAGGAATTCAGTTTATGCATATGATTTTATATATTCTTCACTTACAGACATATAAAATTTCATTCACTTGGCAACACACATGATGGCAGAGTATAATAGACCTAAGTGCTGTTGTTTCACATAGCACAGAAATTTTTATTTTAGAACAGCTAAGTGGGAACATTGTGTTGACGAAAAGTTTTATTTCTAAAAGTTATATTTTATAAGCAATGTCTACTTCAAAAAGAAACTGAAAATTAATGCATAAAAAATATTTTATTACAGAAGACTAATCATAGTAAGAGTTGTCACCATCTCCAAAACCAGAACATTCTCTACTGATACATTAACTCAGTCTTTTACAGTCAAGAAAAATATTAATGTTGCCAAATATTATGACTGAAATAAAACTTAATAAACATAATAAAAATTGTTAAAGTCATAAAGGTGTGCAGTTTACCTAACGTTTGTGCAGATTATTTGCCTCCCAAAAAAGTATGAAAAATATCCCAAAAATAAATTTTAAGGTATATTTAACCATCTAATGCAATGACTCCACTTTTTTTGCACAAGTAATATTATGAATTATGGTGCATTAAATTATGTATATTTATGAAACCTTTCTAGCCATAGTATTGAAACTATTTTTATAAAATACAGTATATTATTTTGAAAAAAAATTATGGCAGAAAAATGCATATCCAGGGTCATTATTTATGGAAATAACTCTTACAATTCACACATAATGAACACTGTATTGATGCATATTTATTTTTTGTATAAATTTTTGTCACCATCTTGTCTCTATTTTTTCATTTGTGTGTCTGTTATTTTTTAAATTTCTCTATTAAGTCTATTAATTTTTTTATTCTGTCCATACCCTTTAAGTAAAAAGGTTAAATTAAGTATTTTAAAATAAGAGTATTTCCAGTCTGTGTTTTCTGGTAAATTTATGATGTATGTGACCATTTCACTTTTAGAATACATTTCAAAAATTTTGGCATACTTTTTATAGTTATTTGATATTTTTAGATTAATTGACCATACAAATATTGCCACAAATCAGAAGTTTTTGAAGCATGTAAGTTGAATTCATTTTTTTCTTTATTAAACATTTTTCGTTCTTATACTTTCTTTGGTTTTGTGCTTCTGTTTGTAATTTGTTCACATATATGTTAAAAAAAATTGTAGCATAACTGGTTTGCAGTTATATATTGTGTGAATGTTTTGGTTTTGCTGAAGTGTTAATAATTAGATTTAAATATTAAAAAACTGTATTTCTTATTATCATGAATACAGTTATTGAAAACATATATGAAGATGAATAAAATTTGAATAGAATTTTACTCTTTGAAATTATATAGCATATGTAGTTTCAATAGTAAAATAATTATTTATTCACATGATAAACTACACTGAGATTGCAAACAACCTGTCTTCTGACAAAAGCCAGAATTTGAATAAATGAACTTCTCATGCTCAAATCATTTTGTTATATTCTAGTATTCAAAATTAAAGAATAGCTGTAAAAATGATGACTGTGTAAAGACTAATTCAAATTCTGCCGAGGGTAATTATTTGTGATAATTTCATGCTACTGAGTGAAAAAATCTGCAGAACATGCAAGTAAGGTGACTGTGAGCAAATCATTTTCAACATTATACACATGTAAAAGTAAAGCTTTGAGTCTGAAGGTGGTCAGATGTTGTTAATTATATCTGGAAGACAATTTAGATAAAGGCCTGAAAAGGAGAGTGGTCGTTAAACTCAAGGCAACTCAAACACTGTTGGGTATCTTCAAAGAAGGGAATAACTCCCAAAGCATGCTCATGAATTTGGAACTACTACTTAAGCATGAGAACAGTTACATGCATTAATAGTCAAATGTAACTTCAGCATCTGGTGACCATTATTTATGAGTGCTAGTGTGCAGAAACTGTTCAGCAATTATGGTAAGTTGGCTGCAGACCTCATCACTGCTACTAGTCCTCAAATAATTCTCAAAAAGTCTTACTTCAAAATGCAAAACCTTTTATGGAATTACAGAATTCTGTTATTGATACAGAGCTTTATATGATTATTTTTATGATTCCTCTTCCAAAACAAGTGTATTCCCACCATGAAAACAGTGTGTAATGGATATGCATTGGATGTTTGCATTGTTCAGGCTCTCTCTAACTGCATTCTCCAGTGAAGAATCACTATATTAACTTAACTGGATTCATCTGTGAATAACAAGGCCCCCACATGTCACCAAGCTGTTAAGAACCACTGAATAATGGTAGTTTGACCCAATCTCTAACCCAAGATGAAAGAGCCACTTTCCTTAGAAAAGCTTCCATAAAGCAGATAGCATATATCCCCTTAAGCAGATAGCCTCCATGTGCTTTATTCAAACAACCTAACTTAACTATGAAAACACTTAGCCCTATTTATCTTGACTTGATTGAAAGGGAAGTTGATAAATCCTAAATGCTGTTGGCTGTGATATGCAGAATGCAGTACAGTTGTCTTCATGCCAAAAGACTATACTTATGAAGCCTTTGGTAAGCAAAGAGTTCACTTATTTGGTACCATTGTCTGCTGAGAATTCCCATGTCCATTGTCTAGTGACTACATAATGGTTTCTTTGTAACATGCAGTGACAACTAATTGTCCCAGCAGTCTTTCAATTGTTTGTTCAAGTTCATAAAAGTGTTGGTAGCTTTTCTGATATCTACCAATTCAGTTCAAGAGTTCTTAGATTTTGCAGTGCTTTTTCTCATTTTAACTGAGGTTGGCCTGTAGTCACTTTCTTTCATTCTTCCATGACTTTCGTTGCCAGTTTCAGTTTCTGCAGCTCTTTTAACACTTTCTATAATTTCGTAGTCAGTATTCTCATCCCATGCTATCTCATCCCATTTTTTTGTTTTTCGGAACAATATCAAAGAGGCATGCACCACAACCATCTAATAGTAAAGTTCTTTTTCATTTCTCTGCCCCATTTCAAAAGGAAATCGCTAAAAATGCTGCTTGTCATGTATGAGTTCTTGTTATTATTGCAAGTTAAATTTTTGACTCCTTTTAAACTTTGAGGTTTTCTACATTTTCCAATAGCCAATTGCATCTTCTTAATTTTTGCATCCATAGTGCACATTAATAACATAGTAGTTCTCCAATGCTCTCTCAAACAGACCAGTTTCATCTGTGTTTTAGATTTTGCACGGCTTGTATTCTTTTAGAAGTCCTGGTGAAACATCTTATATCCAATTTTTAAGCAAATGGTGGTCTACCCCTTGTTTCTTACCATGTAGTTTCCTATAAGCAATTTTATTTCTTTCTTTCCATTTTGTGAGCCATCCATCAGTTGGCACAAAAATTTTTTCCTACAATTTTAGTGAATTCTACAGTTTTTGTGGTTAAAAGAGCTCTAGAAATTGGAAAATTTTGTAGTCTCATAGCCTGAAACCATTGTAGGAGAGCGGTTTCAATGTCTCACGATTTTTCATCCTTTTTGCGCTTCCTTGAGACATCTACATTTTTTTAAACTTCTTTATCAGTTTTATTTCTTTGTTTAAGTAAACTGCTAAGTGCTGTTTGAGAAGTTCCCATTTTTAAATGATGATTCTCTTTCACTGCATTTGCCAAACGCACTAGAATCTTTTCACAGTTTATCCTTTTCTTTTATTCTCTAATAATTTCATTTAGGTATTTTCATTATGTTACTAGTCGTGCATGCAGCAAATAAAAAATATTTGTTTCAGTGATTTTTTAGATCTTGATGGTTTGGTTTGGTTTGGTTAGATTACGGCAAAGCACTCAGGGGCTATCTGCCTTAAGGAAGGGATGCCTTTGTGGAGGACTTTCTAAGGGCAACTGGCTTGTATACACGTTACACATGGGAAAAACAACGAAAACGCCCATGCAGCCAGCCCGTTTGCGGAATTCGAACCTCAGACCGAACTACCAGAGTTCAGCAACATTACCGCTCGGCCGCTGGTGGGCCTTTCAGATCTTGAATTCCCATTTCTAGCCAACTGGAAAGTTTGCACTGTACAAGGGCTGTTTAGAAAGTATCGAGACTGAATTTATTATGCAAAACAGGTTTTGAGTCAATCTCCTTCGAAATATGCTCCATTGGCAGTAACACACTTGGCCCAACAATGTTTCCAGTCCTCGAAACATTTCTGGAACTCCGACTTTGGGATGGCCTGAAGCTGCTGTGTCAAATTCTGTTTTATGGTCTCAATGTCCTGAACCAGTGTCCTTTTAAGGTATTCTTGATCCTGGGAAAGAGGAAGAAATTTGGAGGTGCCGTGTCCAGCAAGTAGAGAGGATGTGCTACTTGGATTGTTCCGTTTTTTGCCAGGAACTGCTGCACAAGATTGCTGGTGTGCGCTGGGGCTCCATCATGATGAAGCATCCAGCGAGAGGAAGCCCACAACACCGATTGTTTTCTGCGAACAGCCTCTCGTAATCTCTTCATGTCGTCCAAGTGGAATTCCTTGTTCACTGTCTGGCCCTGGGGAGCGTACTCATGATGAACAATTCCATCTGCATCACAAGCAACATGACTTTGGCTTCGCACCTGCCATGCATTCTTTGACCGAGGAGACCTGCAGCTTTTCCATTGTGACACTGCTGCTTTGTTTCGGGATTGTATCCGTAAATCCACAACTCATCCCCAGTGATGATGAGCTTCATGAACTCCAGATTGTTGCTTGAACTTTGAAACAAATCAGATGAGATTGCCAGTCGTTGGAATTGCTGATCCTCAGTGAGGAGACGCGGCACAAGCTTTGCAGACACTCGGCGCATGCTCAAGTCCTTTCTCAAAATTTCATCACATGATCCTATGGAAGCTTGCACACTCCTGTGCAATTTCTCGGACTGTTAAACAATCATCAGAGTGCACCACAGCCTGCACTTGTGCAATCTTGTCCTCAATGCGAGAGGTGGATGGGGATCACTGTCCACTGATTTCCGACCCTCCTTGATTTGCCGGAACCACTCGAAAACCCGAGCACGACTCATCGTCTCATCTCCAAATGCTGTTTTCATCATCCCGTAGGTTTCAGTGCCTGTTTTACTGAGCTTAAAGCAAAAATTCATAGAGATTCACTGCTCCATGTTTTCAGACATTTTCTGTTTTCGACGAATGCACACAAACACTCCACATGAAATAAGTCAGTGTGACTGAACGGCGCGCTGTACAGACCTGTGGGTTTTTGTGAATCGAGGTTAAACATGTGCATGCATGATGCGCACAGTCCCACTGCTAGGGATTTTCTGGAATAAATAGAATAAATTAACCTTTAAAAGACAAAAATTATATTCTTTTAAAGGTCTTGATTCTCAGCTTTCCTCAAAATTTTCATTTGATAACAAAATCCATAACATACAGCGAACAATTACTGTTACAAGGTCAGATCACTTTCGAAGCATTCTACTTCTTGAAAACTCTCGAAGGGCAATGTTCTGACAGTGATATATACTTTTACAGCCAACACTAATCAGTTCATCTGGATGATTCTCCACAGATGTAGGGGGTAAAGAAAAACTGCTTAATTCTTTCGGTGGATTCAGTGACAGAAACCTTCCCAACTTTTTAAAAGCTTTCTTGACAAAGCTGCTGACACTTTACAAAATAATACTGTATCTCTTTCAAAACGTTCGGAGGGTTAACCACTTTATTTACAGTTGACAGTGACCATTTTAATGATTTTGCTACTATCCTTTGACTTCGCGGAGTTTCTTTTAACATTAAAGATCTTACCCTTGCAAAATTCAAAACATTCCCTTTTTCCTTGGATATTATTTGGAACAATTTTTCGGCTTGAAGCCAATCATTGACTTATAATTTTTTTTCCGTTCATAAACCTCCATTTTTATGTATGTATACATGTGTGTGTGCGTGTTTATATAATAGGGAGACCGGAAAGTAATGTTGTTTCTGTGCATGTCGACAACAACATGCTAAGGGCAGAAGTGGAAGCAAATCCACGTGAAACACTCTTAACCAACCTTGGTCGACCATCCAAGAACATTTAAAAGCAGAATAGAAAAATAAGCAAAGCAGGTGTTTGAGTCCCCCCCCCCCATAATCTCTCCGAAAAGAACAAAGCCAACCTATCCATCACATGCAACGTATTGCTTCAACGGCACCATACAGAACTGTTTTTTGATCATTTGATTAGTGGAGGCAAAAAAATAAGTCCTATATGATAATACAAAACTCAAAAGGCAGTTTTAATAGGGGTTATAAAGGGTTTACATCCCGAAAAGGCACTTCTGGGTGTTTGATGGAGTATTCGCGGAATTGTTCATTTTGAATTGCTGAAACCTGGACAAACTGTTAATGCAGATTTTTATTGTGAACAATTGGATGGAGGGAACCAATCTTTAATTGAAAAATATCTGGCAATTATCAATGGAAAAGGCGTCATTCTGCAACACGACAATGCAAGACCACACTGTGCAAGGCGAACATTGGAAAAATATAATGAATTGGGGTGGGAAGTACTGCTTCACCCACCACATTCGCCCGATATCACACCCTCAGATTTTCATTTATTCTGATATCTACAACATTTTCTTAGTGACAAAGAATTTGAAAATTTGGATGATGTCCAAAATGCCATCTCGAGATATTTTACACAAAAACCAATTGGTTTTTATCGGTCTAGGATTGAAATCGGCATACTAGATGGCAAAAGGTTGCTGATAATGAGAGTGATTATATTATTGATTAAAAATAAAAACTTGTTACAAATTTATTCGTTTGAATTTAATGTAAGAAAGCGACATTACTTTCCGGTCTCCTTATTATATATTTAAATTTTATGAAAAATCAATGTGCATACGGCTGTAATATCAAAAGTATAGGTAAGGTATAAGTAAGGAAAGCCGTGATTTTATTAATTGTGCCATGATGATATTGCTTTCTTTAAAATCTAAGAAAATATCAGTATATTTTACTATTCCACTGCTTATTTTTTTTATTAAGATCAAATAATCAGGTGCTCTTAGAAATTTCTGTGTTGAAAAATTATGAAAGCATTAATGAAAAAAGACATTGGATTTTGACGGATTAATTCTTATGGTTTTATTAATCTCTATACTTTAATTCCTTCTCTTTCTGTATATATAGAAAATTTAAAAAGAGATGCCAGTTTAATGCTCATGAAGCTTACTTATTTTTTTAATTTTATTTAATTTTTTTAATATTTAACATAATGTTGTTAATAATTATCTTATCCTATGTTAGTTAAGCATGCTATACAATGTATACAAATTCATAGGATGCAGCCAACAGTCTTCCCCAAATTTGTAGCCTGTTACATTGCTCTTCATCTACTGATTTAATTTGACTAAATCAAAGCACTCAAAGGTTTTCTGCCTAAGAGTAGGGAAGTCTTTGTGGAGGAATTTCTGAGGGAAACTGTCTCATATACACGTTGCACATTGAGGAAACAAAGAAAATGCCTACGCAGTGAGCTCATTCGCTGAAACTCGAATCTTCAGCCAAATTATCAATGTTCAGATACTTTATTGCTCGCTCGTTGGTGGGCCAGTGCTCTTGATGCGGTTTATGGATTATAAATTTTGTATGTGCAGTCGGAAAATTGAAAATATTTTTTCAAAATATAGTTAAATAGAGGTAATGCATAGTTTTACTAAACATTTTCTATCGGTATTACTTTCAGTGTAATTACATAATACAGAAACATAAAGTTTGTAAATATTTATATTTATAATTTGGTTTTCGATATAATGAATTAAGATTTCCCAGAATTCAGTACATCCTTAAATTTCATTTTTCAGTATAATAATATGCAGTTATTTTAAAGGGTGTAAATGGTGAAAGTTTTGAAATATGAAAAGAAAAAAAATTATGTTTGCACTCAAAAAAATGCAAATGATAATGAATTTTAAAATAAAATTGTGTAGAATTGATCATGATTAGATTAATCTTCCTTCGGTTAGGTTTTACTCAAGAATATTTTTGCATTTAATATACATGCTCAAAGTGCAAATATTAGAAATTATATGAAACATGCACTGAAGTAGAAATAAGCTTTGCAATAGAAATTCAACTAATTTCAACGAATAGAAAGTGGGATAAAAAGGCTGAATTTGGAATTTTATTTGGATATAGAGTTTTGATGAATAACAGAATAATAGTTGCCAGGCATGTTGACATCATTGAAGGAGACTCATTGTGTGGTTTACTGGTTCACCATTTAATTTAGGCAATTTGGGATACTATTCTGACCTTTGCTCTAGCATTCTTTTTCAAGCAGTTAGGCTGCCTTTCTATGCTTTTCTCCCTTGGACATTTGTTTATTCAAACAAACATTACAAAAATCCTGATTAACATAATGTTGTTAATAATTATCTTATCCTATGTTAGTTAAGCATGCTATACAATGTATACAAATTCATAGGATGCAGCCAACAGTCTTCCAAAAATTTGTAGCCTGTTACATTGCTCTTCATCTACTGATTTGATTTGTTGGGGGTGATTGATGTGTTCCATGATGGCTTTGATCTCTTTTAAGCATCTAATTTTAGTGAAAATTAGTAAACGTGCCGTTCTAAATGCCATTTTTGATCCATGTTTAATTGTCCTTCTAATTCATATTAGGCACAATTAGTGCAACAGTCTCTGCTTATATTTCATTTTTTGCTCAAGTTTGTAAAACATTCTGTGGATTAAAAACAGCACAGTTTTGAACTGTGTATCATATGATTTCATTATTGGAATTTGTAAAATACAGCAGATTACACCAAAAAAATTATTCTAAGGTTTGTGTTAGTTGTGAAATCACTAAACTTATAAACCAGCCAGTTGGATCATTTATTATTATTACCCTGTTTAATGTATCAGTTCTGTATAACTATATCATTGTAATTTAATATCTTGCAATTTCATTTTAAGTATTTTTTTTTTCAGGTGATTAATTTTTGGATAGAAAATGAGTTGCCTATTTCTCCTCTTGAATCATTTTTCAAGCATCATCTGGTCTTATTTTCATATCCATTAATTCTTTTGTTATTCAGGTATTCAAGATCATTTTTAGGAATAAACAGTCATATCTATAATATTTTTAAGCTGCCTAAAATATTCTGGTTCTTATCGTGCAAATTTGCTTACCTATTTACTAATATGATTTTATCATTTTCAGTGATCGACTTCCTGGTTTGGATTTAGAAATTCGTAATGAATTCTTTAATTTACTATCATCAAGATTCTGTTTGAATATCATATATGGAGTCCTGAAAGATATACAGAGTGGTGGCCATGTTATAGACCTTTCAAATGAGATGGTAATTTTATCTGATACATCTAAAGTTTTAAGTCAAATACATGCATTTGATGCCTTGACAGCATGGGATGACTGTTTACCAGTAGAACGTTTGTGGCTTGATATTTTGCGCAATTTGCAAAATGGCATTATTTCTCATTCTTCCATTTCGTTAACTGCAAGTGATGTGGATATCTTGGCAAAGACACTCTTAACCGAAGAATTTTATTTGAAGTCCTTTAATAATACAAATATAAGTAAGTTGACTGTAGGTGGAATTGATACAGTAATGTTTTCTTGTGGACATCATCATACCCTTTCAGCCTTTCAAACTAATGTACAGTCTTTGTTTAAAGACTCAATGAATATGCTAAGTTATTCACTGCCTCTGACATCTAAGTTATTGCTTTCTGAATACCATGCTAGTGTCTTCTCTGCAGCATGTCCAAAATGTGTTCAGACTGAAATTAATAACATTCTGTGATTTTGTAACAAAGAATATTTTGTGTATACTAATCATTCTTATTTGTTGTTATCCATGTGATGCTTATAGATAATTTAAAATTTTCATTAGTACAGTTTCATGAATGAAATATATTTTCATGTTAATTCTATAGTTGAAACTACTCATCCTTTAAATTTTACAATATTTTTGCCATGTAACCTCATATTTTCATATGTGTTCTAAATATAGAATGAATGTATTTTTTTAAAGCTGAATATCAGCATCATGTCATGCTCTTCAAATTATCAAATTATTGGACAAGATGCATGGTAAGTAATATATGAAATGAAAATGTCAAGAATACAGCTCCCCTTTGGCGTACTTCCTTTTGGAAAAGTTCGTTTTGCTTTCTTTCAACCGTAGCTTGTTGATGTAGCAACAATCATGTCATTTTTGTTTTTCAAAACAATAAATTTTAATGAAAATGTTTACATATGAACACTATTTACAAGTATAGTATACATTCTGAGTCCATGCTCATCTTCCTCGCGTAACGACATTGCAAACTCGTCGTGGATGTCGTTGCAAAAACGTTGCAATATGTTGTCTTTAAGACACCCAGATGTCCGCGAACAATCACTGTTTTGCAACTGTTGCATAGACGTCTTTATTACGTTTTGCAGATGAGGTTTCTGTCGCATAGACGTCATTATTGCGTCTTTCGCAGGTGATATTTTGGTTCTGAAAGCATCATATCATGACGTCTTAAAGACGAGTAAATATTCGCAAAATTCCACCTTTTTGCAACAGTTGTGAAAATGTTGTTATTATATCCTTCAAAATTCCACCTTTTTCCAACAGTTGTGAAAATGTCATTATTATATCCTTGTGTTGCGTATTGATTTATGCAGAAAAATAAGCTTAATAATTAATATATTTTTCTTCTTTTTTAAAGTTTTGTATTCCTTGTATTTATCTATAGTTTAACCGTTTGAGTCCGGCTCGTGCTTCATTTGTCGTATGCCAAAAATGCGGCGCAGCGTGATAGCACTTCTCTTGTTTTGTATCGAGAATGCGAAGATGCTGCCGTTGGTTAGTATACTTGAAAAAAAAAAAATTATTGAACTATTCATTTGGTTTCGCATCAGGAGGAGGGGCATGCTTTGGTCCAGGTACTTCAGAAAAAATATTCGATTCGTTCGAAAAAATTGTATCCTCGGGTAAAAACTCATCAATAATATCGTCATCGGAGGTACTTGCAGTTCCTTCATCGTCATCACTGCTATCACTAATAACTCGTAATCTCTTAGAACGAATGATGATGTCACTTCCACTATCACTTTCAAGATCATTACTATACTCTTCATTATCACTTCTCATAAAATAGTCACTTTCAAATGAATCAGAACTTGGCATGGGTTATTTCGTAATTATCAGTATAACACGTGGTAAAAAAATGAAAACAATTTCCAATTCCTATAAAACAACTGCTACTGATATCACTACAACTGCTCTCAATAATTGCATAAAGTATACTAACCAACAGCAGCGTCTTTGCATTCTCGATACAAAACAAGAGAAGCGCTATCGAGCTGCGCCGTATTTTTGGCATACAACAAGTGAAGCGCGATAGCGCTTCGCCGGACTCAAACGGTTAAATATTTTATCATTTCCTGAAAACCAGAAGATAATAAAATTTTTCCTCTTTAGACTAAATATGCATAATTAATACAGTATAAAGTCTGTAATCCGTACGTCCATTATACAGAAAAATCTATAATCCAGACCTTAAAGCCACAAACTTTTTTTTGTATGCTTTACTCATGCGTTTTATGCATGCGCATTAATGTGCGTTTAAGCATGCGCATGCGCGTTGGGAGGATGTATCTCCAGATATGTTAAAAAATTCTTGGCAGCTACCGTATTTCATTGTGAGGACGGTGAAGATGATAGCCGCGAATTTGAAGGTTTTCGGACATTGCAAACTAAAGGTGAAATTTTCCAGTTATTGGATTTTGTAAAGAAATGTGGAAAAGCGGTAATAAATGAAGATGATAAAACAGAAGTTTTTCATTGCGACGATAATGCCCCCCAATCATCAATCAATTAACGGACGGCGAAATCTGTAATATAGTTCTAGATCCAGAAAATACCGCTTCTGATAGGTGGAACTTTGTAACTGAACAAGAAATTATGTCTGTTTATAGAATTAAAGAGAAAATATTAGCACAAAAAACGAAGCAACTTAAATTGAAAGAAATGTTTAATAAAGTAAACAAATAAATATTGAGTTTTTTTTTTTTTTTTTTTTTTTTTTTTTTTTTTTTGTAAAATTTTGATACCCTTTAGATCTTAATTGCTCTTTATTTCATAAATTACGGTTTCATATTTTTAATTGTATAATTTCTGCATGCCAGCTTACCAGATTTAAATTGATGATCTATAATCCGGAAAAATCGATAATCCGGAATCGCCGAAGTCCCGACGAGTTCAGATTACAGACTTTCTACTGTAATAGCCTTAATTATTTTCAGTACTTTAAACTATATTTTTTATTATTTAAGATTTCATCATTTTTTTTCCCTTAAGTGAGAGTAATTATGAGTAATTTTTCATAGCATAAGTTTCTCGGCCAACTCCGCGTCGTCTTGTTCTTCCAAATAGCTCAGCAGTCCGTCGACTTGTTGCAAAGCCGCTTCGTGAGTCTTCCGCATCTGCACAGTGGGCTCTTCTTCGCTTTTACTTCGGTGTCCTTCATTCTCGATTTCTCCCCTTGCTTTCTTCACAATTTCGTCATCTGTCAAGCGTTCGAAGCCAGGTTTGTTGACGTCACACTCAAACCACTTGTTAATGTTTTCAGCATCGACGTTCTCACCACCCGGAACTGTTTTCACTATATCGGCAAGAGTTGCCATGGGCGTGTCTACATCTTTATTCTTTTCACAACTCAAAGGAATTAGGTTGTTGTCGGCTTCAACATTAGGCATGAGTTTTTCCATGATTTTATGAGGGTTGACGGTTTCACCAAGTCCCATGCAGATGCAATATCGTAGATGCTGTCCAAGATTGTGTAGTGTTTCCAAAACTCTCTCAGATCATAGCCTTCTTCAATTTTGGTCATTAGCAGCTTGGTTCAGTACGTTCTCTTCATTGTTGCAATGATTCCTTTGTCCATGGGTTGGATTAGCGCAGTAACATTTGGAGGGAGAAACTTTGCAAAAATTTGTCCATCAGAAGACTTTAGCACGCTTGTTGCTGGGCGAGAAGGTTCGATCAATAGCACAGCTTTTTCAAGCAGGTTTTTCGATTTAAGATGTTTACGCACTTAAAGAACAAAGATTTTTTCGAACCATTCTTGAAAAATGTTTCGGTTCATCCATCCTTTTTTTTTAGTTAAAGTAATCAATGGGCAAATTTTCTATCCTTGTGCCTTTGAAAGATCTTGTTTTTTTTTTTTTTTTTTTTTTTTTTTTTTTAACTTTTTACTTTCCAATGACAATAAGTTTATGTCCAACGGTAGTGTTACTGCAAGACATGATAGTGATCCTTTCCTTGATGCTTTTATGACCCGCTACTTTCAAATGTTAAAGTGCGAGTGGGAGGACATTTCCACAAAAGTCCCAATTCATCGGCATTGTAAATTTGTTCTCAAAAGATAGCTCTTCTTTTAAAGCAAATTCTTCAAATTCATGGTGGAAATCGCCGGCTGCTTGTTGGCCAACCCTAAGTTTCTCCCCATAAAGTCCAATTTCTCGAATTCCATGTCACTGCTTAAAACGAGTCAACCAGCCAGAAGACGCATCAAAATTTCCTTTCAGACCTAACAACTCAAAAAATGTTTTTGCCTTTGCCGCAATGATAGGATAATTTAAAGGATTACCCGTTTTCATTGCGGAAGCACTGTCCGACATTGATGCAAAGTTCACCAGTGTGTCTTTTTGCTTTAGAATTACAGGAGTACTCTCTTTTCGAACTTGAGCTAACCACTCTGTCAATGCCGTGTCTAGCTAATCAAAGGTAGAACGCTTCACAAATTTTCGCGTTTTCATTGCGGAAGCACTGTCCGACATTGATGCAAAGTTCACCAGTTTGTCTTTTTGCTTTAGAATGTCACGCACTGTTGTTTCCGCGATTCTGTAATCCAATTCCATCTACTGCCTTGTAGCGCCGTTTGCTACTTTGGAAATTAATTTTAGTTTTTGCGCAATCGTCAACACAAACTTCTTTCGTTTTCCTGACATTTTAAATCGGTAACGAAAAACACAAAACCAAAAAGCACAAGCACTGAACACAATAAAAGATAAGAAATTAACTCCGCCGGTTTGCAAACACTATCAGGCTTAAACTAACAATGGCGAGTGGGAGGAAGTGGACATGTCAGTAAGATTAAGACGAGAGAGGGCGGTGGAGTGGGCACTGCAAGGGTGAGTAAGAAATCATTTACTCATCAGAGGGGAAGGTTCCGAGAAGCCCGAGGGGAATGTTCCAAGAAGGCCTGGGATATTTTTGCCATAAATAAGCACGATGTTAGCAAATTTAACGTTTCGTTCAGTTTTGTGAACATTTTAATTTTCTTTGCTTTATGCTTGTATAAAATTATAAAGTATTTATAATAACAGTGATTAGACAGCTGGGTACCAATATTAAGATTCTGGTAAGAAAGAAAAAAAAGGAAAATGCAAAACTGAATGTTATTGAGAAAAAAAATAATTAAATTTTGTAATAGAAGTTCGTTGTAGTCGACGTTCTTTCAGTTACCATACAGTTTTGAAATTCAGATACATCTCAAATAGATTTTCTAATACTTTAAATGTCATTTGAAAGTATTTATGTTAATTTCACTTAGAAAAGGTTATTGATTAGAATAGAAAATGAAGTAATTAAAGATAAAATAAGTAAAATTATAAGTTTACTAAATTAAAATAAGTAAAGTTATTATGCTAGGCGGTATAGTGATTAGGGGATACCAAACTCACTGCGATACCAAAGGGCCCGGGCTCGAATCCTAGAGAAGGCATGGATGTGAGATTGTCTGTCCCTTCATAGGAAGGTAGCGGTCGCCGCCTATTAGGTGTCTCCACAATAAAATAGCCACCACTTCTGGCCTTAGTAGTGGCTAATGCCATTATAGACAAGTGTCCGCCATTGGGGGGGAAAGGAATGTGTTTTATTTAGCGCATAAATTACATACGTTTTTATTTTTATAATGCGATGAGTAGAAAATTTTTGATGACCGTATCCTTTTCTCTGGGCCCTGCCATTTATTAGTCTTATCATTCGCCCTGCTACGTGATGCCAATGAATAAAAGTACAGAAAATATGGTAAAATTAAAACGTTATTGCCTATAAATTTTTTGTTTTAAGAATAAGTACAACTTTTATACGGATTTTATGGAATATTTTATTAAAACATGGTAAAATAAAAGTAAATAATTTTCCAACTAAAAATGCAAAGCAATATGAAATTTAAACACAGATTGATAAAATGCTT